AAAGCCCGAGAATGTGGCGGGAGAGTTCTTGCGAGGAATGGATAAGAACTTGGAGGTCAAGGGTGACGGAGCCTATTATCTCATGGACAGAATCTAGACCCCGCGTCACGGAGGTTTCAGAGACTTGGTCATGAAGGAAGCACACAACACTCGATACTCCGTTCACCCAGGTTTAGATAAGATGTATATGGATCTCAAAAAGCTATACTGGTGGCCTAACATGAAAGCAGAGATTGCTACCTTCGTGAGCAAATGCCTTACTTGCGCAAAGGTCAAAGTTGAATACCAGAAGCCATCAGGTCTCCTCCAACAACCATAGATACCGGAATGGAAGTGGGAGAGGATCACCATGGACTTCATAACCAAGCTACCCAAGACAACGGGTGGATTGGATACCATATGGGTCATCATCGACAGATTGACCAAATCCGCGCACTTCCTACCCATCAAAGAAACAGACAAGATGGAGAAACTCAAAAGAACGTACATTAAGGAGGTAGTTTGATTGCATGGTGTCCCTGTATCTATTATCTCGGATAGAGATAGTAGGTTTACTTCGAGAGTTTGGCAATCACTGCAAAGCGCCTTAGGGACAAGGTTGGACATGAGTACAGCCTATCATCCGCAGATTGACGGAAAAAGTGAGAGGACACTCCAAACTTTAGAAGATATGCTGCGAGCCTGTGTGATTGACTTTGGTAAGTCGTGGGATACACACTTACCTCTTGTGGAGGTTTCCTACAACAACAGTTATCATACGAGCATTAAGGCAGCTCCATTTGAAGCCCTCTATGGTCGGAAGTGCACATCCCCTCTGTGCTGGGCTGAGGTGGGTGACACTCATTTAGCTAAAGGACGAGTTCCTGACAGGACTCTCATAGGTCCAGAGATCATACGAGAAACAACTGAGAAGATTGTGCAAATTCGCGAACGATTAAAAGCCGCTAGGGACCGATAGAAAAGCTACGCAGACAAACGAAGAAAACCTTTGGAATTCCAGGTGGGAGACCGAGTCCTGTTGAAGCTCTCACCCTGGAAGGGCACGATACGCTTTGGAAAGCGTGGAAAGCTGAACCCAAGGTACATAGGACCTTTCGAGATTCTCGCTAGAATCGGCCCCGTAGCTTACAAACTCAACCTACCCCACGAGCTAAGTAACATACATCCTACCTTCCGTGTCTCAAACTTGAAGAAATGCCTGTCCGACGAGACTCTCGTTATCCCACTCAACGAGATCGAAGTCAACGAGAGCCTCAACTTCGTGGAAGAGTCGGCGAAGATTATGGACCGGTATGTCAAACAAACGAAACAAAGTCGCATCCCAATTATGAAGGTTCGATGGAACGCCAAACAAGGACCGGAGTTCACTTGGGAGCGCGAAGATCAAATGAAACTCAAATATCCCCATCTCTTTGATTAGTAGTACTGTAATAACTTTACTGCTTGTACTCTAAATTTCGGGATGAAATTTCCTTAACGGGGGGAAGATGTGACAACCCAAAATTTATTCTGTCATTATAACCCGTTTCCGTTAATTAATATATTCTATTTTATAAAAGTTCCGTTAAATTGGGGTCGACAAATAAATAAATGTTTTATTTATTTGTGTTTTATCTCAATAACTTCGTAGTAAAATAAATAAAAAAACAAGTAAATTATCTTTCCATTTTATTGGAAAAAGTTTATTTTTAATAACAACCATTTAACCGGGTAAAAAGTTTAAACCTCGTTAAACATAAGTATCGGGTAGTCGTATACCGGGTACAAAACCCAAGCTTTATATAAAGGAGGGTGGACACTCCATAGAACCTTTTACCACACTAGACCCACTTTTTCTCTCTACTCTCTCTCTCTCTCTCTCTAACTCATTTTCGCCCGAAAACCGCAAGTTTCCGCCTCCAAAACGTAAGTTCTCTTACCCTAACTTGTTCTAGTCATCATTGATTTGTGTTTTAACCCAAAAATATTCAAGAAAGCCAATACAAAGGAGTTAACGGTCTAAGAACCTCCTTTGGCCGTAAACACCTAAAATGGTGCCAAAATGCCAAAACTCCTCCCTTTAGACTTAAAAACTAGTTTTGGGTTAAACCTAGAAGTGTTTGAGCCTTGAATCCTCAAATTTAGGGACTTGGAAGAGGGTTTACTGCCCAAGCACATGCTTAGGCCGTAAACACCCTCAAAATATGCAAACCAAGCCCAAAACACTTCTAAAACTCATTTAAGCTTAAGATATGACCAAGGGACTTGCTATTTCGGACTTGCAGCATTTAAACACCAACATTTGAGGGGTAAAATAGATTTTACTGCCCAAGTATATGCTTAGACCGTAAACTCCCCTAAACCATGTCAAATGAAGGTTTAAGTCCCCTAAAGAGCCTTATACCCTTGCTAGAATATGTTAGGACTAAACCAAGAACCTTCGAATCAATGATTGGAGGTGTACAAGAGTTTACTACCATAAACCATGGGGTTTACGGCCGTAAACTCCCAAGAAGTGGTCTTTGGGCCGTAAACTCCAAGGGAGTACACTCATGGACTCTTAAACACCCGTATACCCTTGTATACTACCTTAGAACCGCTTCTAGAACCACCAAAGGCTTGAAACCACTCACTTACACTCCTCCCATGATTTTACGGCTGTAAACTCATGGGGGATGAGGTCCCATAACCGTAAACTCACTTAATGTGAGTTTTAGAAGAGTAAACTCCATGGTGAAGTCTACACTCTATCCTTGCAACCCTTTAGCCTTCTAGCATTCAACCATAAGACCTTTAATCACATTTGGATGCCTATATGTGTTTAATTAGGGTTTAAACCACTAATTATTTGTAAACATATGTCTTCATATGTTACTAGGGTCATAATGGGTGTACAAGTCCTTACTTGACACCAAACGCTCATCCGACACTCACACCCGATCTACTCATTTCAGGTGAGTTCATACCCCTTAATGAACCTTTTAAATGTTTTAGGGGTGGGGATACAAGTACATTACTACGTGTTTTATTATCAAATCATATGTGATTTACAATCTATCATCAAAAACGGATTACTTTACAATTTTAGATACTTGTCAATAAAACTGTTTTAACTAATTATCAAATGCGCTGTTAAGGTTAAATTGTTGTTAAACTATTTTCAAAACTATGTTTCAACTACTTTTCTTTTAAAAAAATATATCTACATTAATATATTTATATAAATAAGACTTGAAGGACATAGGATCGATAGTTAGCCTTATTTCCTGTTCTTGTTTGATGTGGTTTTAGGGTATTGGTTGTCCGTCCGACTGTCGTTAAATTCTTAATTATATATCATATATATTTGTGTTAGATATGAATGTTTTTATCTTATTCATTACTACTGTTGATCAGAAGCAGGAATTCACATACTCTATTTAACTATAATAGGTATAGTTAAGGCTTCTACTAGTTACCTCTACTACTACTATACACACCATAAACTGTTAATATTGCAAGCTAATGCAAGTATAAGAGAACACTCTACTTACTATATTAAAAGACTATCATACTAAAGCATAAGAGAATTCACTAATACAAAGTATATCACACTATCTCTCTATAAGGAACTCTACTGTACTTACACTATGTGACCAGGGCTTCCCGAAAGAGAAGCAACACTATATGTATAGATCTATACGGAACTGACACTATTACATCCCGACTGTTAACTACAGTCCGAGCCGACTAGGCCAGGGGTGGCACTACATTACTTCACTACGCATGACCGTGAAGGTCATCGGTACTCTACTACTTCACAATTTGTCACGTGAGAAGTTAAACTTACATCCAAATAAATACACTAAGACTTAAAGTCTGAACTGATATCCCGAAGTAATTAATGATCTATCACTAACAAATCTTACAACACTACTACTGTTAACAAGTATACCTTTTCTTCAGCCATATTACTTACATGAGATTTATTACTACACTTTTACAATTGAAGGTTTCAACAATATTACTTTCACACACTCAAAAGATTGAGTTACAAATGTACTTTCTGGAAAATATAGGATTTTCTAGGGATTTCTACTACTCCTAAATACAAATTTCAGCTTTTATACTATAATATGGCAAACACTTTTATACTACAATGACACTAAACTCTTATGAACTCACCAGCTTTATACTGATATTCACTTTCAAAATAACTTGTATATACTACAATGACACTAAACTCTTTTGGAGAAGATGGAGCATATACAAGACTCATCTTTTATTTTTGATATACTTTTGGTTTCTATTAAACTTTACAGAACACAATTGTAATTATTACCACTCTATATATGAAATGGTTGTTGTTTCTTGTTTTTACTATTATGCAATTGTAATGATATTGTACATGACGTCCTCCACCCCAGAACATATTTCTCCGTTCTTGGTTTTGGGGTGTGACAAAAACTCATATATTTTACACGCATTAGTTTGCGTATGTAACCTTTCAAAATTTATCAATGCCTTGCAGTCCATGATTTTGAAGTTTGAGTTTCGTTTATTCCTTCCACTTCCCTCAGGATCCAAAGTGTCAGTTGATCTGATAGGTATTTTACCCATTTTGTTGCACACTACATAACTTTTTTAAATGGTTTTGTCACCAAACCTCGTTACTGTATTTAACCTGACACCAAAACCTGCTTTATCTGCATATATTTTATACATTTCAACCACTCCTCTAATGATTGATATATAGCATCTACATCTGGCATAAAATCTTTAGGAACAATAGGTTTCCACAACTTGGTTTTCCCACCAGGCGAGTCAACAACATTACTATTGAATGATTCCTCTTCAGAATCAGTTTGATTTGTACATGTTTTTTAAGACAACAAAAAACAAGAATGCGACATGCAAGACATGATATAAATTTCTATCAATTACGTATACATAAACTACAAAATTTTATAATCATAATCAACGTCTGTGAAACAGTAATCAAAGTTGAAGTGTTTACTCATTTTAATCGTATTAACGCATAATCACCAATGATTATCAAACTTAATCAACATTGTATTAAACTTAAGAAACAATGTACAACGAGGGACTCCTGTACAACGATCTGCGATATACACCAGCATTAAGTAATTAATACATACAATGTATATGATTAATCGTATACAAATATGTACCGAATAAATGGCAGGTCTTATTCATCATATACAAAAATTCAATAATTAGTGTAATACACGATCTGTATTTACAAGATGTTGATATTGTTTTCATTTTTTACCTTCACTCGCATAATCAGATAATTGATTTCTTCCGCTGTATTGATCATCCGAATGATAGAAATCGTCGTCATCATATTCATTATAGTTTAATGCTTCGTCGCCATATTGATCTTCATCTTCGGTATCATCGCTACTGTAATCAAAACAGGGCAACATCGATATTGATTGGAATCACGAATGGTATACTGCGTTGTTATCTTCAACCGTAAATGATGAACCATATACAAAAGTTGATTGACTGAAATCATGAATGCTATACTGGAAATCGTATCTTCAATTCCATATCTCCTTGAAGGATAACTATGGAATATCCCTTAATTATAGGTAATTATTAATGGATAATATATTGATTATTAATTGTATTATATTAATTAAAAATTAGATTAAATACAAATTTAGTTAAATACCCTAATAAAATGATTGGTTGATAAGTGTTCTCGCGTTCTCAAGCTTTTAGGCGTTCTCATTTGATCCTACTCCTTAGTGATAATATATTAATATTTACATTTTGACTGTGAAAGTACTATGCAACTCATAATTCAGTGACTTATAACTATAATAAATGAAAGCATTAATACTCATAATTCAGTGACTTATCACTATAATAAATGAAAGCATTACTGGCGATGCTTTTAACTTTAGATTAGATCATTAATATAGTTTCCATAAACTAAATATACAATAAATATATTAATTTCAAATTTCAAATTTAATTTCTAATAATATATATTTTTAACATTTATTCTTAACATTTTGTTATAGTTAACCCGTTTAGAACACGAGTCTGACAACTAATAGTATAATTTTACTTTCTATATTTTTTGCATGTATATTTATTTTTTAACTTTTTTTTCACAGAAATTTCACTTTCATTAATTTTTAAATTTAAATAAATTTTCAGTTTAATCTTTCTTATTTAACATTTTTTTAATCAACATGTATGGTATACGGGTCATACAATTAGTACGTGAATATGTGCACATGATAATGATAAGAAAAAAAAAAGTGAAACCAAAATTGGTAAAAAAATCAATTCGATTATGGTTGTTATATTATTTTCTCCACTATTCATTAACTTTAGATGATTCACATATATAAATTGTTATCACTTTTTGTGTTTATTTATAACCTCTTTCGTTATGTTTAAATACAATCTACATAAAATGTAAATACTAATTTTGGTTCCGATTTAGGTAAGGAAGAAGGATAAAGTATGAAATGTGATAGGATATGGTAGGAATTGACCTAACAATCCATGTTCTCATGACTGGTATATGGATCAAACACAAGTTTACATGACTCAAATTTGTTAAAAAGTAACAACAAAAAAAATTAAAAATCAATTTTTAGGTATCGAACATGGAACAAGAATTTAAAATTCCGAATTTTACTAAATTCATCTCTAAACATTCAGTAAATGTAAAGTTTACCCGTTATATTTTGAAGAATCTATGCATGTTTATATGTATCGCGTTTGACATGAATTAAATTTGAGTCTTATATGTTAAAACATATAATTCGTTTTTACATGAATACACATGAATAAAAATTTCTAAAAATCATACAAATAGAAGTTATGTTGTTATCACGTCGTTTAAGTAGTGTCGTTTATCGAGTTGTCATGTCTATGTATGAGATGTTCTTAAGTGCACATGCATCGTCTATAGATACATGTGCATATGCATAGATGTGCACATGTGCTCATGAATATTTTCTGATCAAAAAATATCTTCTGATACAAAAATAATTATATCGAAATTTCAAGAAATCTCTCAAGTTTGATTCATAAATATAATAAAAAGAATTTCTTTTATTTTTTTTTCTAAATTCTAGCAATATGTTAAAGAAAGTATAAGTGAAATATATTATGTTTGACGGTATTTAAAATATATTATTTAGTTGAGAAACATTAATGTTAACAATTTTTGAATTTTAGTGGTTATTTTTTTATAATTATTTTTTATAATAATAAAAAAAATCACCTAAAAATCTGTACGTGAAATTGACTTCTTGCTGCAACTTAAAAAAAATGGAAAGTAAATAATCAATATTTAATTTCAAAAGATAAATGTATCTTTTGAATATATGATGCTTATCAATTCCTAAAAACCCGTAATTTACCTAATCGATTAATCTTAAATACATGCTCGCGGTTATTTTCATTCGCAGAGATTCCAAAATTTAGAGAAGAAGAAAAATTTCTTGAATATCTTCAAGTCGCCTACTGTTTTTGCTTTAAGATATGCTTTTAAAATTGATGCGTTGTTATTATTATTCATTGTTTTTTTTCTTTAAGTCAACTTCTATCTTCTTCTTTCTCAATCGATTTGTCATTGTTATCAACCCGTTCGTTTATCTGTCACGTTGTGTGTCTATGATATATGTATCTGCTTCATTGTTATCGATATATACTTTTGTATCTGCTTCATTACTATTAATATATTTAATTCTATTTGTCACTGTTATCAATCCGTTTTTGTATCTCTTACATTGTGTATCTCTTACTGTAAGTTGTATCTATCATCAGCAACATCAATGAACAGGAGCATCATATGTGTGATAAAAAGTTATAACTTAGGGATGTTTTTTTTTTTTTTATATTTACATGGACAATTTATGTATGTTAGTGTATTGAGGACCTTTTTTTGTAAATGTACAGAAAATGATATTATAATTGTCAAAACTGAACATATAAAGTGAAAGTTTGCTGCTCTAAATAATACGCATAAATCCCCTATTCTAATAAATAGTTAGAAATTGTCCACGTGGCTGTCAAATAGCCACCCCCATTCAATTTTTACCACTCTTTGTCATAATGTTAATTTCCGATATTTCCCTTCAAGTAACCAATCGATGCCTAAAAATCTGTACGTGAAATTGACTTCTTTCTGCAACATTAAAAAAATGGAAAGTAAATAATCAATATTTAATTTCAAAAGATAAACGTATCTTTTGAATATATGATGCTTATCAATTCCTAAAAACCTGTAATTTACCTAATCGATTAATCTTAAATACATGCTCACGGTTATTTTCATTCACAGAGATTCTAAAGTTTTGAGAATAAGAAAAATTTCTTGAATATCTTCAAGTTGCTTACTGTTTTTGCTTTAAGGTATGCTTTTAAAATTGATGTGTTATTATTATTCATTGTTTTCTTTAACTCGATTTCTATCTTCTTCTTTCTCAATCGATTTGTCATTGTTATCAACCCGTTCATTTATCTGTCACGTTGTGTGTGTATGATCTATGTATCTGCTTCATTATTATTAATATATACTTTTGTATCTGATTCATTACTATTAATCTATCTAATTCTATTTGTCACAGTTATCAATCCGTTTTTGTATCTCTTACATTGCGTATCTCTTACTGTAAGTTGTAATCATCAGCAGCAACAATGAACTAGAGCATCATCTGTGTGATAAAAAGTTATTGTAACGACCGAAAAATCCAACCAATTTAAATTTTTCAAAAACAACCTGATTTCATTAAATTATTACAAAAAGGTTTTCAATACAAATCATTCAGAGTATTCCCAGAATCACATTGCTACAAAATCATGAGGAGTGGTATTATCACGCCTTCGCCTTGCCACAGTCTCCTAAAGAACCTGAAAAACATTAAACCACAATTGTAAACCCGAAAGCTTAGTGAGATACCCCCAAAATACCAACCACAAATACGCCCTTCCAGGCTACGAACTTCCGGTCCAAAACATATTGCCTTCCGGCCCATAACATATTGCCTTCCAGCCCATAGCATAAAAAGCATACATAACATAACAGAACATAGAACAGCCATGCATATCGGGTTTACTGTGTGACTGGTCCGCCGTATCCGCCTTCAGTCCACCGGATCCACCCTCCGAGTCTAGTCATGTCCTTCGAGTCTACATTGTGGTTGGTCCGCCCGCATCGGGCCTTCAACCCACCTGGTCCACTCTCTGAGTCTACAGTATGACTGGTCCGCCCGCATTGGGCCTTCAGTCGGCCTGGTCCACTCTCCGAGCCTCAGCACGTCTGGTCCGCCCTCGCGGGGCCTACAGCCTATCCGGACCGCTCGCTGGGACTTTGGAACAACCGGTCCGCCCTGGGTATCTTGGCCTACAGCACGAAGCAGGACCCGCCTTAACCCAACTCCAGTCCAAACAACCATGTGCACACAAACAAGTAATCACATAACAATTCCTATTCAGGCAACCGATCTAGCAGATCACATATCACCACATACTCTAACAGGATACTGACCTAACCGGTTACTAGCAAAGCCTAACCCTACATACCAGGATGCCGAACTTAACTAGGTTCCTAACGAATACCATCCTAACTACCAGGATGCAAACATATCAAAGCAATAACATAACAACAGATACCCGGATCTCAATCCGATAAAAGGGTCGGCCTTGGTGCCTTAGACCCTGTTGATATAGTGAGGATAACTCACCTCAAAACTGTTGGCTGGAAGGATAAGATCCTGCTGCTCCGAACTCCGATACGAACTCCTCCACTGAACACCAAAACACTCAACTCAATATATACCCTTAATTACCAAAATACCCCTGGAAGACAACTGGTCAACCCATGGACAAGGTCAAAGTCAACCCCTGATTGACTTTACTCGCCGAGTCAACCCGATGACTTGTCGAGTCCCCAAGCTCAGAACTTCCCTCAATCCGCGACCTGACTTGTCGAGTCACCCCGAGGCTCGCCGAGTCCAACAACTCTGAGTCCACTCGCACCCAACTCACCGAGTCATCCCTTGACTCACCGATTCTCGACTCAACCAGAAAATATGGGGACTCTTCGAAAAGACTCGTCGAGTCCAAGAACAGACTCGCCGAGTCTAAGGCTATCTTCAACCTACTCGCCGAGTTGTTCATCCAACTCATCCAGTTCCAGCTCATCTTCAAGCAAGTCGTCGAGTCCACCCTTGTGACTCGCCGAGTACCACCAGTCTAAATCCATGCAGAAGCATTCCAGGCCATGCAATTGATCCAAAATATAGATCTAGCCTCCTACCACCCATCCATCACGTAAAGTGGCAAACTTTACGTGAATCTAAAGAGATCTAGGCCTTTTTACTCTAGGGTTTGGGGTTTGGGACAAGATGGCTCCATCAACAACACAAGAACAGGGACTTTAATGCTCTTAAGA